TAGAGTCAAGTTCTGGTATGGAACACTTTTTCATCTGAGGAAATATCCTCAAGAAATTTGGCATGGGTTATTGCTTAAGGCAATGGTGCAATATCCGAAGAAATTATTCAGATCGGATTACTATAGCATATAGCTGCCATACAAATTGAACGATCGGAATAAAGTGCTTCTACGCGCAACGGTGTAATCTCCGAATTTTCGTAATGAATCGTATGTACTTTTGAAGGGTGCAACCGAAGTTATCGTTTTATCTTGTTTTCTCCACACACTGTAACACTCCAACTTTACCCGCGGTGATGGAAAACTATTATATATGCCTATCGTCGTATTTGTTATCGCCTTTTTAAACGCGGTATCATGCAACCGATAAAGTTGCCACATTAAAAAGAAAATCATATATGGCAATTGAGTAAATTGCACGGCTTATTTTTAATGAGCCGAAAAAAAGCTCTACTCAAGCATTTATCGACTCGAATTTATACGCTTTCACATATGTACATCCATATATTTTACAAGTGTGTGTGAGTGAGCTGAAAAATGATGAGCGAAAGAATCGCTCATAAGTCTCTTGCTGCCAGGCGCGACACGTTTCGTTGACAACTGTCAAGTGAAAATAATTACTCCAACGACTGAGATAATGTTTTCCCTTCTTCGACTTAATTAATGCCAAAAATTATTTCCTTTTGCTCGACAGCACAAACATATAAATTAATTTCGGCCGTTTTATTACATTTACGCGCTGCTGCCATGCAAATATATTATGCATACAGCTGGATCTGTGTGTGTGTGTGGGACTTGAATAAGCGTTTGTAGGCGACTCAGTGGCAAATGTGTTTGTTAAGCGCTCATACGAGCTTTTAATATGAATTTGTATGTAGGTATGTATATGTGTGTGTATATGTATCTGTAAGCTACACCCCTCATAAATATATTGTACAAACAATTTGCGCAAACAAAAAGGATATGCCGGGCGAACATGGAAACGATCACACGCACACACCTATATATGCATGGGATATGAGTGCGCTTGTGTGCAATGAGCATATTCTCCATTTATGAATATGCATGGACCTGAAATTGACACGAAAATGTCAACTGCAATTTCATTGTCTGCTGTTGTCTTTAGTTATTGTTGTACATACATATATGCCGTTGTAGGCGTTGCGGTTGCCACGAGCATGGGCTACTCCCACACCACCTCCCTCCCAAAAACTGTAAGTTCAACACAAAACAATTTATCTTTGCAGTTGCTATAATTCGCTTACTCATTCGCAATCATCGCTGACATCAAGCCTGGCAAGTGTAAGTTCTGCAGCGCCATATTGTAAGCAATCATTTATATACATTTATACATATACAAGCATATGTATGTGTGTGTTGTTGTTGTATGCAATTTGTTCGAGTGTCAGCGGCAAGCACATACACTTGTCCTGCAAGTGTCACTTTGCTATTGTTTTTGTCGTCATCAGCATCGTTGGTGCCCTCGTCAGCGCTGTCATGTTGTTGGCACCGCTACACATTGTTGCTGCTACGGTTGGTCGCCTCGCTTGCGGTGTAAAAATATTAAACATAAATTCCAACTAGACACATACACCAATACAAATGTATTTTGTTGGTGTGCAAATGTGCCTGAATTACCATAATTTGAGCATTGCCAACGAAATTGTTAGCGAAGCTCGACAGAGTTGCATTTTTTATGCAGCAATTTGAATTAATAAGAGTGAGGGGTTTACGTTTATAATTCACACCTGGTTCATTTGTTGGTAGAAGGTAGATTTTAGACTAGATTTTAGATTTCTGACTAAGATATTTAGTGCTCTGGAAACGGTTGTTTAAAAGGCTAATTTTAGAACATGAACACCCGTTTTGTCAACATATTTAAAAATTAAGGACATTCTCTCTTCCACCGCTACCCCTGTAACGGATATGATCCTTATTGATCTTTTTGTTCAAAATAGAATACAACCAATCTTCAGAAATACTCTGTGAAAATATATCTCAACTAACTTGGAAATTCAATTAGTTCTTCGATTAAAATAACACAATTTTTCCAACAACATCTTAAAAGCTGTTTTGTGTCCTTCATTTAATTACTTTTGAAAGCCTTATAAAAGTTGTTGAAATTATGCTAAATAGACGTATTCAGAGTTAACTTTAGGACCTATAACCCTTTCAAAGTGCACTTTCTACTCGTAGGTGCAGTGAATAGGTAAAGGTCTTTTACATTATAGTGCCGAGTTTCGAGGTTAGAATAATTCCCGATGTTTCCAGAACTGACTCTGGGTAGAGAGCGAGCTAGGTTGAAAATATGCGGTAACACTTTATCCTCAATTGGTCCCCAATATCTACCCTAAATATGTTTAAAAATGTTTTCTAAAAAATCTGAAATAATAATTTTTGTCGAACAAAACGAAGAAAAAACTGAATAATGTAGATATGAAATGGCATGTGTTTTGAAAACCATTTATTTAAAGATATTTTGAAATAGAGTTGTCACTTATTGAAAAAGGAAAACTGAAATTTTTAATAAAGCATTAAGAATATTTTATAAATGCTTACGGAGAAGTCTTGTAAAAAAAATCAATTCTAAACATAGAGCTACCACCTATCAAATAAGTTAAATTGAAAAAACTTTTACGAAAGCACTCCGAAAGTAATCCATGCAGGCATATTTATGGAAAGAATTGTCACTTATCAAAGAAAATAAAACTATCAACAGGTTTACACATTTCTTAAGAGAGTTGCCACCTGTCACAAAAAAGTTTATATTAAAACAGCGTTAAAGCGGTGCTGCTGGAAGTTTTCAAAGAGTTTACAATTCAGACATATTTTGGTATAAAGCTGCCACCGCCAAAAAAGTAAAACTGTAAATTAACCAAAGTCGTTTAAGAAAGCTTTGCGGAATTCCTCAAATTAGTCTTCATTTATAAAAGAGTTAAAAATCAAAAAGAAGTTCAGAGAACTGTCGAAGTTTTCGAAAAAAATATACGTAAATTTATTAAGTTAGTAAGCTAATAATCTTATAGTTATATCAGGTTTATTCGAAAATTGAAAAAAGAAGAATAACATGAATGTTAGGAAGCCATTTAATACAATATATTGGCTTTTACATTAAATTGTACTGATAAATTATAAATTATAAGATAATAAATGTAATTATTAATATATTTGCTAGAAACTACTTAGTAACTAAAATATTATTATTAATTATGATTTGCCAAACGCTTCAGTGCACAAATTATTATTATTATTTTTATTTTCCTTTTTTTAAATATTTTTCATTTCATTTATATATATTTAATTTTTACTTCTTTAAAAATGTTATTTGCCAGCATCTTACGATATTAGCTTATTTATTTTACATATAACATTTTACAAAATATACTTGCAGCCAAAAAATTGGAAACAGCTAAATTTTTTGAAAATATGTAAAAAAAAAATAATGAGCAAAAGAATGTTAACCTTTATGCAAAAACATTTATTTGTTTCTAATTTTTTGGCGTTGCTGTTGGTTACTCATTAAAATACATATATTTTGATGTGTTTATAAAACTATTTCGAATCAATGTTTTTGATAGTATATATATATCTACATACCTAAAAATAAAAATTTTAAATTAAAATGAAATATTTTTGAACATAATATTTTATTAAGAAGTCAGCTTAAAAATACTTTTTTATAAATTTATATGTGGGTGCTCAATTATTCAGTGACTAACTAGAGTAGAAAGAATAATAAAACTAAATTAATTATCAATGAATATTAGTGTCAAACAACCACATTGCAAATATTACTTTTATAAAAGTATAGCAAAGTTTTTGATGTTTCAATTTGTTTATACATGTATATATATGGCACTGAAACTTAAATACATGAATTCAAAAACTTAAAGTGCAAACGCAATTTAGCTGCAAGAATGCAAATAAACCAAAAAATATTAATAGGTAAAACTAATAAATTTCAACAAAAAAACTAACGGAAAAGGCTTTATTAAAAAAGCTTTTTATTAAAAAAATAAAGGTAATTAAATAATTAAAAATATATAAAAATAATTTAATTACAAGAAAAAAAAAATTTTTTTAATTAAAAAAAAAATGTAACACAAAAATTTCATTAAAGAAAAGAAATATTAAAAAAAAATATAATTAAAAAACAATTAAATAAAAATATGTCATAACTTAAACGAAAACAAAATTAAACTAGCAAAATTAAATACAACTTTTATAAATTAAAAACAAAATTGATTTAAAGAAAAAAATAGAATATAAAAATTAAATTAATTAATTTATAAATTAAAAGCAAAAATAATTAAAAATGGAAAGATATATACATATGTATACATAATCATATACATATCTATATATACATATATATATATATATATATAGAAATATTAAAGTAGTGAATATTTTTATTAATATTTTGCCTCTCATATTCTTTATAAACCAATTGTAAACTTGACTACTAGTGCCTCTTAGTAATTTGTTGATCTCTTCTACTATTTAAAATATGTACGGAAAAAAATATAAAACTATTTTAGTCAGCTCAGAATTTCTCATTTTAATGTGCTCCAATCACCGTGCAATTACATAAATATATATAGTATTCGATTACTCAAAATAAATCTAGATATACAACAACTAATTAATTTTAAGCTGCTTTATATGCGTTTCCTTGTCTACATATACCATACATATCTATAATCTATCTATCCAACTATCAATTTACTATCTAACTCTAACTCTGTTCTGTTCTATTTTATTGTTGAAGTTTTTCCTTGTTGTTGTTGTATTTTAAATAACTACCGTAATAAGTAGTAAGACATATATAACTCAAAGCAAACTCATATATACATTTCTACAAATTCTTCTTCTTCCCTGCGCAATAACACACGCATTACGTTATTTATAATTCTCAACGTCAACGACAATGCAATTTTCTACATTTGCTCTAATGCGCAACAACAAAAATAATTTCGGATGACTACGCTGAACCGCAGGCCCTCGCACAATACAAGATGGCGACTATGAGATAATTGTCGTGGATGAAAATAATCCATCGGTGTTGGCGGATAACGACTCACATTCCAGTGGACCGCCTTCGATTAAGGTGAGTGGCTCAAATCATGAGATAATACATATTTATTTTTATATATAATATATGCGATACATATGTACTCATATTCCATCCATATCATACCGGCATAGCTGTACTATGTAAGCAAGCAGAAATGTGCTGTTTCCCTTAGTTAATGCAACTAAACGACACAAACCTACATACTTATATGTAAACATACTTACACTCGTTATAGTTATGAAATATAGCATGTACATTACACGTTTCCATGGCGAATAAGTCCACATTTGAATATTATATATACATAATCTAAACTCATATATGGTAAATATATATAATATATATATGTTGAATGTTGAATATTATATATATACTCGTATAAATATATACTCGTATAAATATATATATATATATATTTATACAATAATTTAACATAATTTAATACAAAATTACGTACAAAAAATTTTATATGTAGATGTAAACAGAAATAATATTATTTTGGGGCTCAGGTCGTTCTTAAAACCTACCGTTAAAAGCAACACTTATACAATTTTTTCCACTGAATGCCAATATAATAATACAAATCCTTGAAATATTTTAGTTTTTTTACCTAGTACCGAAAATCGAATAGGACTGCTGTAGATATAGTCAAGTATATCATCCGTACTGGAAAAGGATATAGTAGTTTGAACTGCGAACCCCATGTGACAGAACTTAAAAATCAACAATATAGATCAAAGTTATATTTAATGTCACTAGCTATATCATAGATAAAAAGTTTAAAAAAGTCGAACGTAAATATATTTTTACCACATTTAAGAACATTCCTAATGTATATATGCAGTTTTTATCATTTATGAAATCTTTATGTACATACATTTATTCCTACCACGCTTAGAGGCCCTTCCCAGCTTAATATTCAATATTATAACTTTTTCTTTCCGAAAAAATTCTTTCGAATATAGCGGGGCACCTTATTTTAATAAGCGTGGAAATTATGACTTCAAGAGATCATATTTTTCCTCGGTAATCTAAATGTGGCTCGCAGAGCAATTAAAAAGTTCTATATTAAATAATCGATCCACAAGCCAATAAGGCATTCTATACAGGTTATGTTTATCCCCAATCACTAGATCTACGAGTTTAATACCATTTCTGTACTACAATAGATAAATTTCATGCATATACATATTACCTATACATAATATGTATATATATAAACTTATTTAAAATTTTTGCATTTGATCAACTGCAATCCCTACAATGCCTTGAATACTTTTGAAGCTTCGGAAAATTTCATTGAAAGGCTTTGATATTAGTAATAATAAATTCCTTTTCCTTTCTTTTCACGTGTTTGTATGCATTGGATTAAATACATACATATTTTTCAGTTACCTTTCTGAAAGCATTCCTTTTTGCAACTGAATATAGTATAGTAGAGAGTATAATATAATACTGTAAGATTTATTGTCCAGAAGCACAAAGGCAGCAAGAAGATATGGCAATGTATAAAATAAAGAAAATATAGAAGAATATAAGCAAAATTCTTCCAGCGTTTGTGTCAAACAGCTTCTACAAAGGAAATATATATTTAAGCTTAAGTAAATTAAAAAAAAAAATTACTTTAACTTTTTCTACATTCATATGTATGCATGTATGAGTACTTGTTAATTTTAAAAAATATATACTTAGTAGTCGCCAAGTAGGCAAAATCCAAATTAATATAAAATTAGGAACTAAAACTTGATATCTCTATTGTTTTGGTTAGGAAGGGATAGGAAAGGAAAGAAAAAGAAAGGATAGAAAAGGAAAGCAAAGAAAAGAAAACAAAGGAAAGGAAAAGGAATTTCGAATACACTAATTCCATACACAATCAAAAGAGAAAGTTACTAACAGAGGGCTGGACTTACTTGAGGTTTTATATCCACTTGTGAATTTTCAAAGATTATTTGCTGAGATTGTATATTATATATAAATAACCCTATATTGGCTCCGATATAGATATTATATATAGCTAACAGGTGTCATGGAACTTTAATACAAAATTGAAATAAAATCTAGAAAACTATCGGATAACTAAAGTATTTTATAAATATTATATGTAGTTTTGTACATAACTTTATATATATATGTAAATACTTATATATACAATGACTACGCTAACTATGTACGCTTATGTATTCATATGTATAATAAATCAATTACTAATTTGCATGATTAGAGCAATAAGGCTACCACTACCAATACCAATACTACTACAACAACAACAACAACAAATATGTCCAACACTAAAACGGAACAGAGGGTAAATACAAAAACTGTGTCAAATCTAGCAACAACTATAACAACGACACTAAGTTTAACATCGAACAATGCAAAAGTGTTGAAACATACAAGCAAATTGCAACAACAACCATTATCACCACCGAAACCAGTGTTGCCTAAAAAATTACCAAAGGTAACAAAATTGCGCATTTTTTGTTAGAAAAGAAAAATTGCTTCAAATACTAATCAAAGATAGCAGTAAAATATGGAAAGTCATATTGAGTAGTCACGTATAGCAAAATTGTTGTTGTTGTCCACACATTATGCGAACACACACAAGTATTTGTAATTTGTCACTTTTTGTGTATAGTCTTCGTGAAGTATTAATTTTTTGTTATCTATCTAAGAATTAGATACTCACACATATCTACATTTCTATGTATTTAGTCAAAGTATCTATACTCATACATATGTATGTATGTAAATTAGTACGTGTAACAGTCCTAATATAAATGTATTAAATTACAATTTATTGCATATAAATATATAATTGAAAATTTTCTGCTCAAATGCAAACTCACAAGCACACACTTGGTACAATACACAAAGTTCACATTTATGAGTACATTAGGGTGAGCCAAATAAGAAAAACAACATCGAATTCTTTAACTAATTAAAAGATGATAAAACAAAAAAAAAACCTGCATTATATAAATTACACTTTTTATTGAAAAAATCCTACTGAGGTACATATTTTGGAAAATTTTATGCTCAATATGAAAAAAAGTTATAATATTTTTTATTGAAAAAAGATTTTAATACGATTTAATAATATGAAAAGCTTTGAATGTTTAACGACAGCTTATGAAATTAAGCTAAAAATTCTATCTTGCAGGGATATTTTTTTCTCGTATAGAGGTTCAATTTAACCCATAAATTCGATATAATTTTTTTTTTTTTGGCTCACCCTATTATACATACACACATGTATATGAAACTACATAATAATTATAAGTATTATCTAATGCGTGAAATTTCTTCAACGATATTTTAGTACATGAGCTTAAAGCTTGTACTCTTTGTCAAAATGAGTTTTAGCGTACTCAATATAATTAGGGTCCATACAGTTGACAGTTAGAGGGTTAAATATCCAAATGAACAAATTTTCATCAGAAGTTTAAATTTACAATTTTAAGGACAAATAGAGACCAAACAAGAGTTCCAATCAACATTTTCCAATTTTTCTCATTTATGACCAAAAAATGAAAATTTTAAACCATTCCATGTCAAAAAGAATAAACTCGTAATAGATGAAAAAGTATTTCAGACTTTCGCTAAATACAAATATTATCGTATAGTATAAATCAAAAATACTAGCAAAATGAAATAGAGTTAGAATAGCAAACTATTAAAATACTTCAATTAGATATACTCGCTTTTTCTAGGTCTACAAGATAATTTGTTTTTTCGCTTTCAAAATCAAATTGTGTGACAAATAAGCATAACTGTAATATTGCGAAGATAGCAGCGAGAAGCGGCGAATCGATGGCGATCAGTATCTGCTACACTATTATATAATAAGTGTATTTAAGCCAGCTTAGGCTAATGAGCTATTCGCGAGGTCGCTCTGCAAGTGGAGTTTGGTACCTGCTGTCACAATATATGAATATTTTGATTTTTTTATTAATATCAAGTCATTTCAAGTGCACGAGTGGATTTCTGACTTGAAAATGCTGCTCATAAAATCTACCCGTAGCCACTTTGTGATAATTAGGCCTGTAAGTAGCACTAATCAAATCAATAATCAAAAAGCCATATTTCCTTCTAATTGCCGCCCAAATTTCAAAGGATTTATTTATTATGTGTTCATGGAAAGTGAGTAATGGGCAATGGATAATGCTCTATTTATGCTTAAAACTATGAAATTTTCAGTAGAATTCTTTGAATAGTTAGTACCAAACAAACTTTTTCGTGTATTCTCATAACATTAATATAATCTTCAGTAACACATGTGAATTTATTTTATCAATTTTGATGCCCTGAACAATGTATATTACGTTTACTACGAAGCTTGTAGCACCCAGAAAGAAACGTTGGAGACTCTGTAAAAAGTATATATATAAAAATAATCAGTGTAACGAGCTGAGTCTATTTAGTATGAAGGGTATTCACCGAAGCTAATACTTTTTCTTGTTTAATTGGTATATTTAAAAAATACTAATAATTATTGCAACTGCTCATAATTTTGTTATTGATTGTAAATTCACTTATACGAAAGCCTAAATTCGGCAAAAATAACCACTACATTGAAGAATTTTTTTTATATCTACCAAGCGTCTCGGTTTTCCATATTATTTGAGAATTTTACTGAAAAAATTTGAAACTTCTTATGCTCATTGCATATATACTTAGAAAGAGATGTGATATTAAAACGAGCGCAATAAAGCATTGAAATTCGCATGTATATTCACCAATGTTGTTAATTTCAACTCAAATAAAAACCTGAGTCAAATTAAGCCTTATCGGTATGGCTTATATTTGGTTTTAAAGATTTAACTCTGATATATACTCTAAATTTTATCACTCAACTTTTCATCCGAATTCAAAAAAGTGCAAATGAAATACCTCAGCAAATGGAAAGCGATTCTTAACACTCAGGGAAATATTAGAAAATTAAACTGTAGGTTTAAAAATATAAATAAGCACTATCTATAGAAATGACCAAGCACTGAGAACATTCGAGAATGCAATGCTTATTCTATTTTGCCAAAAATAGAACACAAACATTTGAAAAATAAATAAAATTTTATTTTGATGTCGACAAGAAGTCTGAGTACCTTTTCAAGTTTCTAATATTAGTTTCCTTTGGCAATATTTTACAAACTTTGAAATAAGCACGCTTGTGCTTCTCTGTTATAAAATTTACTAGATATACATATATACATACGCTTTATCTGCATATGAATAAGAACATTTGAATGAATATAAAAAGTATGCCAAAGCGGACTCAACCAAAAATAAAATATCTAAATACCTCTGCCTACATGCAAATCTGTATGTAATTATGTATATTTTTGGTTTCCATTCTGTTGCCCACTTCATTTGCTTCCGCTTAAAGCACGACCGACCACAATAAGCTAAAAATACTTGGTTCCACGAAAAATCCAGCGTCAAGCCACACACATCACAGTCTGAAAAGCCTGCTAACTTTGGTTATATAAATACATACATACATACGAGTATGCGCTGTGCGTGCGTTGTACTGTGCCACGTGCATCATTGGTTGTTGTCAATACAAAGGCATTACTTTGAACGCATAACTCATACGCACTGTTGACCACTTGGGGTTGTCTATTTAACTGGGTTTTTGTGTGCATATGTAAGGTTTCTTACACACTTATAGCTAAAATATTTGTATGTAGGTGTAATTGTACATCATACATATGTATGCATTTAGTTAGGTTTAAGTAAATATGTATAAGCATTTAGTGTAACTGACAATAGCAAAGCAACACAATCGCTTTGAATAAATCTAATAATCACCGAGTTTTTATATAGAAATACAAGCACAACACCTTTTCACCACACTTCACCTGATTTTGATATATCAATTCACCGTAGTTATATATCCACAGTCCATGCCTAAACATATACACACACACACATACAATGCATACGAGTATGTAGTTGTCTTTATATATTACTTTTCTTTACATATATTTACATGCATATCAACCATTCTTGCTGTTGAGATTGCTGCTTCAACCAAATACATTTACACATACATATACAACTATTACACATACAGATATAACATATACACATGCATTTATAGGTATTGACACATGTATTTTATAGGCCAAGTGCTGGCCATCTGACATGCGTATGACAATTCACATTTGTCAAATTCGTACTGGCTGGCTTATGTTAAATGCAGCGCGTGACAGTCACTAACCGTTATGTGTATATATGGTATATTTGTGTGTCTGTGTTAGTCCATAGGTTTATCAATCTTCATTATTGTTTTATCTGAGTTGCGGTCGGCTAATACGCACTGTCTTTGCCAAAGTCAACAACAACAATAATGTCGTCGGAAATCCAGCTTTAAGTAAATTCAAATTGCCACCATTGATTTGCGATTTGGTTTCTGTTTTTTATTGCTAAATAATTAATGACTTCTGGGGCAGTTGTCATCAGCGCTACAACAATAAAGCATTATTGGCTAAAAAGAAAAACAAACACTGGAAAGAGAAATGCGCCTTACTGAGCAAAAAGTACGCTTTTGAGGAAAGCTCAGAGATATTCGATTATGTATCACATTTCTTATTTTAGCTAAAGATAAGCTACTTTGTCTTAATTCAGAAATATAAGTACATATTGTATGTATGCGTATATTGGGGTGGAGCGAAAAAAAAATGTTTATTTCGTCGTTCTCTTTCTTGCCAACTAAAAGTTATCAACTTAAAAAAAAAGTTGGTGGTCATTATTGGAGTTTTAATAAAAAGTCTTAAACGACAACAAGCTTTCCTAAAGTGCTAAAATAAATGTTCAGTCAAAAACCTTCAAATTTGGTCGTTTTTATATAAATGTAAAGAGCTTAAGCCAAAAAAAATTTGTTTTTGTCCAAAAAAAATGTTAACTTGAAATTTACTTTAAAAGAGAGTGGCTCGCCTCTAGATGTAAAAAAAAAAAATTTGTTTTCCAAACATTTTCTTTTTTTATAATCTACAAATTTTATCCTCAGCCTAAGCAAAAAAAAAAAAACTTTATTCGCTCCACCCTAATGTATATACAAAAAAAATGGGGTAAATCAGGATATAGTTTTCCGAATATCTACACATTTTTCATCCATTTTGCTTTATAAAAAAATTTTTAATACATAACAAAAATTTGGAGCAAGAAAAACACATCGCTAGTTAGTGCTCGGGTTGGGATAATGAAGTCTCCTTTATACGCAAAATAGAGCCGATAGATGGCGCTGGCGGTGTAGATCAATGCTATATAAATTGAAAACTTTTAGTCTATATAATAATAATAATTAATATGTTTTGATATTAATGATTCTGTATGTCATTATCTATAAGTAGGCAGAGTTTGTCTCATACACCAGCATTTGTTAATACTACTTCTCGCGCAGTTTGTTGAACGGCTTTTTTCATGTACATCACTTTTTATGAAATATTCGTGTTTTTATACTATACAGCATATAACCTAAATAACATACGAACCTAATTTACTATTAAGGATACAGAGTTCGAGATCTACATCAGTTGCTTAAGTTTCGCTTTTTGAAGCCTTAAAATATATTTTCTTGAAGAAATGGGAAATCGTTTAGTTTCAGGCGTTCAAAGATGGGCAACTTCAATTTCTCATGCCAGAAAAACGTATGGTCCAACTTATGGTAGTCAAATGTAATGGCCTCTTAATTATGCTGAAACAGTTAGAAAACATTTTGCCTCCTGGTGAAGTCATTTTGATTTGAGAAACACAATCCTTTGATAATATCTATAATTAATAAATTCAATTAAAATTAAAATAATATAATTTATCTCTTATGCATATATTAATACATACAATATATTTTTTTGCTAAATGTATGTAACATTTGATATGCTTTTAAAAGTTTGATTTTGAAAACGTTTTTAGTTATCTCAACAAATTATTCTATATCACGAAGTGTTAATTTGAGTTGTGAGAGTGAACAGCCCACCCAAAAATATGTGTTCGAATGAGTTCGAGATTTGCGGTTTTTATGAAATGTGTTTCGAGCCAGCTTTGGATCATCCTAAAACCTTTGCCTTTGATGTATGGCAAAGCTTCCCTCTACTCTGCTCCTGACATCTTAATTTTATCCGCCAAATGAAGAACTTTATAAGTTTCACGTTGTCTGCGTACCTCATGTAGTTAACATACTATGTACATATATCGTTTTTAGAAATTGTGACAATTTTTGTCAATTCTTTACGTGGGTGTTTTTGGATGTTTTTATAAAACGTAAAAATTTTGTTGCAATAACATAAATTTTGTATAATTTTTCATATGCAAATTTTCTCGAATCTTCAATGTCATTTTCATTCATTCATTCTAATAAAATTGTCCACCGGCGTACAGACCTGATCTCAATAGCATAAAAGGGTACATATTTGCAAAAATATCGAAGTTGAAATTATTGGGCTTATTTGGTCTAAATATAATATATCACATGTAGGTATTTATGTCATTTCAATCTAAGCTTTGAACTCATACATGTGTCCTCTTTGCTATGCACCCAATCTCATGTGACCTCATTGTTCATTTGTCATTCTCGTGTCACTAAGTTCACTGCGCAATTGCCAATCTCATCAGCAAGTAATCAATCATAGACACACACACACATACACACATAACTAGCAGTTGATATGATGAAATTAATTTATACTTTAATTTCTCTCTCATTCTTCCTCCATCCACTATTGTATTTTAACTTCACGCACGCTGATTTATTTTCGCTTATTTTCGCTTGCTACACAAAATGCCTACGCAATGCACGGAAATGACAAATTTCGTGCAAAACCAACAACAACGACGGCTTTTAATGGCCTACAACGTAACATTTTAATTCCCCCATACCACCACATAACCGACAACAACAACAACAACCGCATGAATCATTAAAACTCACGTCCGGCCAACGCAGAGTGTCGACTCGGATGTCGGTTCGTTGAACATGAATTCAACGGAGAACGAAGTTCCTGAAGTGGAATCGTCGAGTGAAATTCTGGCCGATGACAACAAACCGACCAACTCGAACGACGAAAGCTGGACAGATGTCAATTTGAATGAGGATGCTGGTGTACAGGCCACCGCAAGTGGTTTATTGTCGGGCGGCATGTCGGCAGTGGATGGGAAAATGCGTGACATCGACGGCCTGCAACATCATGCACACCAACAACAACAACAGCAGCAGCAGCAGCAACAGCAGTCAACAACGACAGGACATGGCCAACCGCAGGGTGCTCAACAAATGCAAGTACACCACGGACATCAGTTGGTGGGTGCTGGCAGCGAACGCGGCGACAAACCCGATTCGGAAATATCGGTGGTACGCGTACCGGACAGTTATGCAACAGCATCCGGCGCGTCAGGCGCGGGCGTTGGCACGGCTGCCGGCAATGTGGGTCAGCGTGGCACACGCTCCGATGAGCTACAAATGAAACCACCACTCGTTGGCCAGCTGCCGATGACAACGCCCTCGCGTGAGGCGAGCCTTACGCAGAAGCTGGAAGTAGCGCTGGGTCCGGTGTGTCCGCTGTTACGTGAAATAATGGTCGACTTTGCGCCATTCCTGTCGAAAACGCTCGTCGGCTCGCACGGACAAGAGCTGCTGATGGAGGGTAAAGGTCTAACGACATTCAAAAACTCACACTCCGTGGTCGAGTTGGTAATGTTGCTATGTTCGCAAGAGTGGCAGAACAGTCTGCAAAAGCATGCCGGTCTGGCGTTTATTGAATTGATTAATGAGGGTCGCCTGTTATCGCATGCCATGAAAGATCACATAGTACGCGTCGCTAATGAAGCTGAATTCATATTGAATCGTATGCGTGCAGATGATGTGCTCAAGCATGCCGATTTCGAGTCACAATGCTCACAAACGCTGTTGGAGCGGCGCGAGGAAGAGCGCATGTGTGACCATCTCATCACCGCGGCGCGGCGGCGTGACAATGTGATTGCTAGTCGCCTATTAGAAAAGGTGCGTAATATTATGTGCAATAGGCATGGTGCTTGGGGCGATGCCAGCGGTACTGTGCAAAAGCAAACATTCTGGAAATTGGATGCCTGGGAGGATGACGCGCGTCGCCGCAAGCGTATGGTACAAAATCCACGCGGCTCTTCACATCCACAGGCCACACTCAAGGCGGCTATTGAAAATGGCGCACCTGAAGATGCCATCTTACAGACACGTGATGAATTCCATACACAGATTGCTGTGTCACGCGGTCATCAGTCATCCCAGCATACAGCCGATCTGTTGGATGATGCCGAGCTGTTGATTGAAGACCGTGAATTGGATTTGGATTTAACAGGACCAGTCAATATAAGCACTAAAGCGAAACTAATTGCGCCCGGTGTTGTGGCACCCGGTACAGTGTCTATCACCAGCACTGAAATGTTCTTTGAAGTGGACGAAGATCATCCAGAGTTCCAGAAGATCGATCCCGAAGTGCTGAAGTATTGCGATCATTTGCATGGCAAGTGGTACTTCTCAGAAGTGCGCGCAATTTTCTCGCGTCGTTATTTGTTGCAAAATGTCGCACTGGAGATTTTCCTAGCCAGTCGCACCTCAATACTTTTCGCTTTCCCCGACCAACATACTGTGAAGAAGGTCATCAAAGCTTTGCCGCGTGTTGGCGTCGGCATAAAATATGGCATACCACAAACACGACGCGCTTCGATGATGTCGCCACGTCAGCTAATGCGCAACTCTAATATGACACAGAAGTGGCAACGACGCGAAATCTCGAATTTCGAGTACTTAATGTTCCTCAATACGATAGCAGGACGCACTTACAATGACCTCAATCAGTACCCAGTCTTTCCATGGGTTCTTACCAATTACGACACAAAAGAACTGGACCTCAGTCTGCCTTCGAACTATCGCGATCTCTCGAAACCGATTGGCGCATTGAATCCGTCACGCCGCGCCTACTTTGAGGAACGCTACGAGAGTTGGGAAAGTGATACGATACCACCATTCCACTATGGGACCCATTATTCTACATCAAGTTTCACACTAAATTGGCTGGTACGTGTTGAGCCCTTCACCACCATGTTCTTAGCGTTGCAAGGCGGCAAATTCGATTATCCCGACCGCTTATTCTCCTCCATATCGCTTTCGTGGAAAAACTGCCAACGGGACACATCCGACGTTAAAGAACTCATACCAGAATGGTATTTCCTGCCAGAAATGTTCTACAACTCGTCCAGTTATCGTCTGGGTCATCGCGAAGATGGCACACTCGTTAACGATGTTGAGCTACCACCTTGGTCTAAGAGCCCTGAAGAATTCGTGCGCATCAACCGTATGGCTTTGGAATCAGAATTCGTTTCATGCCAACTACATCAATGGATCGATCTGATTTTTGGCTACAAACAACGTGGACCCGAAGCTATTCGCGCTACCAATGTCTTTTACTACTTAACCTATGAGGGTAGCGTAGACTTGGATGCTATTAGCGATCCAGTTATGCGTGAGGCAGTAGAAAATCAAATTCGCAATTTCGGCCAGACACCCAGCCAACTGCTTATGGAACCGCATCCACCACGCAGTTCGGCAATGCATTTGTCGCCGATGATGTTCAGCGCCATGCCTGACGATCTCTGCATGTCGCTTAAATTCTATCAGAACTCACCAATTATACACATCTCAGCCAATACCTACCCGCAGTTGTCGTTGCCATCGGTAGTGACTGTGACTGCGGGCCATCAGTTCGCCGTGAATCGCTGGAATTGCAACTATACTGCATCCGTCCAGAGCCCCAGCTATGCTGAGTCGCCGCAATCGCCTGGCTCAAACCTGCCTCTGACCATTGATCCTGTCTTGTGTAAGTAGCGTTTGCAAGAATCATTTATGTTTTATATAACTTCCCCACTTAAATATCTCTTTAAGCTAATATTTTTGTGTTTCACTTTTAATCCCTTTGATATCTTCAGCTGCACAAAATACTGGTCACAATAACCCCATGAATCGCCGCCATTTGGGCGACAATTTCAGCCAGATGTTGAAGATCCGTTCCAATTGTTTTGTCACAACTGTGGACAGTCGTTTTCTCATTGCTTGCGGCTTCTGGGATAACAGTTTCCGTGTGTTCGCCACCGAAACTGGTAAGTACCCTAACTCAATATCATTGCAGCCATTCTCCGCAGCTCTCAAATAGGCTCTGCATATTTACTTATGAGTCCTTTTTATTTCTTCGCTCTTTCTAGCTAAAATTGTGCAAATTGTATTCGGTCATTTCGGTGTGGTCACCTGTTTGGCACGTTCAGAGTGCAATATAACATCGGACTGTTACATCGCTTCGGGTTCAGCGGACTGCACGGTCCTGCTGTGGCACTGGAATGCGCGTACGCAAAGTATTGTGGGTGAGGGTGATGTACCAACGCCGCGTGCCACTCTAACGGGACATGAACAAGCTGTAACTTCGGTTGTGATTAGTGCTGAGCTGGGCTTAGTCGTCTCAGGATCGACAAGTGAGTATTCCCTTATTTTATTTGACAGGAATAGCAACAAAATTTGTATAAAAAATGTTAATCTTGTAGAATATATCGAATCATGATTTGAATTATTTATTTTTCATATTTTACTGCAACACGCTAATATTTGTTCCACCTTTACCTGTCTTTCTTTGTAGACGGTCCTGTGCTGATACATACCACATTTGGTGATCTCTTGCGTTCGCTTGATCCGCCTATGGATTTCTATTCGCCCGAATTGATTGCCATGTCTCGTGAGGGTTTCATTGTTGTCAATTATGATAAGGGTAATGTGGCCGCATACACCATCAATGGGAAAAAGTTGCGCCACGAGACGCACAATGACAACTTGCAAGTGAGTTATTGAACTAGTTTGGTATTTCGATACAATTGCTTCAAATATCTCTGTTTTGAATTCCATACGTATATAAATTTATCTAACGCTTCTTTTTAATTCTATCTTATTTCTTTTTTTTCTTAACTATGTTATCAGTGCATGTTGCTATCACGTGATGGTGAATATCTGATGACTGCCGGTGATCGCGGCATCGTGGAGGTCTGGCGAACCTTCAACTTGGCGCCCTTATATGCTTTCCCGGCTTGTAATGCTGCAATACGTTCGTTGGCGTTGACGCACGATCAAAAGTAAGTATTGACAATTATTAATTATTTTTATATATTTCAACATTTTATTGTAAAAAATCATATAAAGACATGATAGGGTTAAAGTATTCTCAATTTTCTAATGCTTTAGAAAAATATAATATATTGAACTCTTATCCGCAGTAATTGCCATTTACTTATTTGTGCTGTTGGTGAAAAGTAGAGAAATCCTCTTATCTAGGTTAATGTGTAAATTTCTCTTGGTACTTTACAGTTTGATGCTTCAGTTATTCGTTTAGTCTCCTAATACTAATTTTCAAATATCCATTAGGAGTGCCTTAATTTCGCCCTTATAAAATTTCACTTTTAGTTTTATCATTGATATAATAAAAAAATGCCCCAAATTATTATTGTCATCTATATACATATAATCACGAAAGGAGTACTTCTTCAGAAAAAGAGATTTCTGTCATGAAAAAGATTCTCATAAAGGCGGCTGTATGGAGCGTTGTGGGAAGTACCTTATACCAATATATTAAACGTAATCTAATCACTTCAAATTGTTGGTGGTAATATGATATTAGGATCATTACTAAAGCGCTAGGGTAGTACGCTGAGGTCATAGAAATTGAGTGGTTTTATTTTAATTATTTTACTTATCTTTTCGGGTGTTCTTTTTCGGCAAACTAAACTTTTTGGTGCAAAGTTCTTTCACTTATTTATAGCTCACTCAGCATTTCGGCTCACCTCACAAATAAAGCTCTTCAAGTGCAGCACTACTTAACAGCCCTGTAATTTTGCACAAATTTTGAGAAGTAAAAGTAATTCGTAGGAATTATTTTCCCCCAACATACTACAAAGGGCGTAAACTTTGTTTTTGGAGGTTGTTATAAAAAGTGACAGCTTAAACGAATGCATATCTTCTGTCTGTTTAGCGATTAAAGAAGTTCCTTGCAACAAATTAGATGATTTGGAGACCCTCAAAAGGAAGTGATAAAGAGATTTTAAAAATGAAGTTACAATTTTATGAAAAGTTTAAGAGCATATTTTAAAAACATAAGACCGCTCGGGTTATACAAGTATTCCTCATAAGACGAACTTCTTTGTAGGAAGTAATTACTTAATTCGTTAATCAAGGCTAAATTTTTTTTCTTTAAAGATAGTGGAATTGCAGAGTACTTTGAGATGGTAAATGCAAATCGCGTCGCAATAGCTCTATTTCTTAAGTGCTTTCTAAACGGTTCATTTTAAAATATCTCGCTTATTGTAGAAATATAAAAATCAGTGCAGGTCGACCGCTGAAAGTCACAGAAACTGAGGTATAAGAATATTCAGCCTTATTTTTGTTTGAAATTTAGCAATACTCTCAAGAAAACATTCTCCCCTACTCAAGCTATCTTAACTTGACCCCTGACTAACAGCTGAATATTATGAAACTTTATTTTTTACTTTATAAATAATTAAGCTTAGGATTTGATAATGAATTCATTGAAAGAAATTTTCCTTTGTAAATTCGGATTAAAGAGGTCAACATATTAAATTCGCATATAAATATCTACATCTATAATGGATATACCTATATACCGTTGATATTAATTCCACACTTTCTCACTTTATCTCTCTCTCACTTTCTCTCTCGTTACAGATACCTCCTTGCTGGTCTCTCTACCGGCTCGATTATTGTCTTTCACATAGACTTCAATCGTTGGCATCACGAGTATCAACAACGGTACTAGGCGCCAAGAAAAGGTAAAAATACAGTAAAACCCGGCTATTACGTACATAAAAATACAAAAGTGACATTATAAAAAAGGCAGCGGAGCATCAAGATGCCGCTGCTACTAAAGACAACATGATGACGTTACGACAACAACAACAATTGTGGATAAAATAAGGCCAAATTGCAAATAAGCAGGACTTCAAATGTTAAACAATTAGTTAAAACAAAATTAAAATTAAAAAAAAAAATTGTAGTGGCAAAATGCAAGTAAAAAAATAAAAAATTAATTTAACAAATGTAGCAATTGCTTTGCGTTTTCAAACGTACCGTGTACACGGGTGCGCCAAAGAGCGCATCAAACTTTCAGTTCTTAGTAGATTTTTCATAGGCTAGGAGAAAATTATGAGTTTTCGTTGTGCAAATTTTTTACATAGGATTACACAGCCGATACATATAGAGTAATAATGGGTTAGACCAATACATTGCTACGAATAGTTTAAAGGAAAATTCATTAAAAAAAATTTAAATTAAAGTTGCGCTGAAATTTCTTAACTTAACTTAGTAATTAATAGGGTTAAAGTGGATCTTTTTAAATTAAAGTCGATAAAAAAAATTATGAAAAATTAATAAAAATTAAAAGACAAAGTTAAATAGTTTTAGTGACACAGAAAATATAGAAATAGCAGTTCTTACTTAAAACCAAACAAAGACGTAACCAAGCGGCCAAAAAGAAAGTGAAACGTACTTAACTTAGTAATTTTTTCTTAAAGCAAAAGCATTGTACTTAACAAACAAAAACGAAGGTATTTCCAAAACTTAACAGTACGACTAGCAAAGTTGAAAATAAAAAGCAGGCATAGCATCGCATAGAAGCATTAGTAGCTCGTTACAAAAATTAAAAAAAAAAATTTCTGAAGAAACACAATTTTACTTAAAGAAAACTTAGCAAATATTTGTAGGTAAGACCGCTAAAACACAAGCAACATGCAAGCCATTAATTTTTAAAGCAAAATTTGTATTGGTTTAAATTAAAAGAGAAACACAATTGAAGCTTAACCAAAAAAAGAGAGTTGTACATGGTAGCGCATAGACTAAAAAGAGCGAAATAAAATGAAAATCACTAAAAAGAGAGCAAAAGTGGAAACGTGCGTAAAGCAGCGCATTAAGCACAACAAAGCATTAAATTCACTAACATGATATGGCATAACATAGCTTAGCATAACATAACAGAACCACTTACATATGTATGTAAAGTATATATGTGAGCATAAGTCGCACCATTCATAAGTTAATCGGCACTTAAGTTGACGTACTTACGCATATTATGATTATATTTGTGTATATGTATGTGTGTGTGAAAAGAAAATGTGTAAATTATGATTATTTATTCGCAGCAGCTAAGTGTATGTATATGTAAAGCCAACTCATTGTGTACAGTTGTATTATGTGTATGTTGTTTCTGTATAGATTTATGTATGGTATATGTATGTGTAAAGAAGAAATTAAACAAAAGGTGGTTTAAAAAATTTTATTGCGTCCAATTAAAAAAAATATATATTAAAATAAAACAAGAACAAAAACGTATGAATAAAAATGTTTGTATTTGCATAAATTATATACACACACAACAACAACGGCAAGAATGTTTGCATTAAATATCAACAGCAAAAATAATTTCGTCCAAAACTCTTAGCTCATTTGAATACACTTTGCAACAAGGCGTATTTTACTGGTTGCAAATGGTTGTTATAGTAAAAAATTTGATTTTAGCAAATCAGTTCGTCAAACGGACGTAAAAGTATATTTTTTTATTATTATTATTTTTTTTTTTGAATTGACATTGGCTGTTTGCTAGGTTTCGTGAATCCATCCACTTAAACTAGTTTTTAGAGTGTGCTAAAGAAAGTTTGTGCTAAAAGAAAAAAATTTTGAAAACAATTTTTTTTTGTCATAATTTTTATAAATTAAACAAAGTGAGCTGAAATATTGGCATAAAAGCTGAATCACTGTTAAACTAACAGCATAAAACAACGGTTACTAACAATCAAACGAGAACTATAAGCATTGAAACTGTCTAGTAATTAAAACAGAAACGTAAATATCGTTTTACAGCAGAAAGTGATTATAACAGATAAAAAGGCGTTACTCTGTTCTTACAATAAATTGTTTCCGTTTCTGTTACAATATGTGGTTGGATAGCAGCATATAACTGCAGTAGAGCAAATATATTTATAAGGCCTGCTAACAGAAACAGAAAAAGTATAACGGAATGTTTAACAGATTCGTTCGTCTTTTCAGGAATAAACTTTCTTTTCATTCAATAAAACAAAAAGTACTCAAAATATATATGTAAGTGAAACGATGCTTTTGTAGCAGAATTATGCATGACAATTGTTTGTAACAGAAATTTCCACAGAATGTTATGACTTTACTCTTCTAATACAATTGCAATATTTCGGTGTATCTTACAATATATGCTGGTTTCTGTTGAAAAAAATGGTTATTTCAGCATATTGTTAATGCTATAGTAACTGTTGCTGTTAAAATACACATGCGTTTCTGCTTTCAGCAGGTTACTATGGAAATATTTAATATGTATGTGTGTATGTGGGTGGAAAAATATATGCAAGTGGTGAAAAAGTACATCAAAAAAGAGTGTTCTTTTAACACTACACCAGCTGTTTCTGTTACGGCATCTGCTCTTGTCTACAGAAGTGGTTAAATGCTGTAAATGTTAAGAAAAAAATTAAGTGTATTTTCAAGATAATTTATTTTTTCAAATTAATTAATTTTGTGTAAAATAATTAAAGTTTTTGTCCCACGCAAAATACATTTTTTCAAGTTATTGAATTAATTATTATTTAATTTTTTTATTTAATTAAAAATATATTAATAAATAGTTGTATGTTTTATGCACATACACAATTAGCTTAAGGCTCAACAACAATTTGCAAAAGCACACAAACGTACTGTGGCATTTCTTTTTGTAAATAAAACTACTTCAATGCTTTCACAAAAAAAGATTTAATAGTAATAAAATCTAATAAATTAAAAATTAAAAAAAAAATGATAATGATAAAAAATTATATAAAATTCAAAACAAAAAATTAATTACAAATAAAAGAAATTATTCACAAAAATATACACAAAAATTATTGAAACAAAAATAGTGCTAAACAAAAAAATGGAGCGTTTCTTTTTAATATTAAAGCCAAAGTGCTTAAAATTAATGTTAAATAAATGATAATTGCAGTAAATTAAAATTAAGCTTAAGTGCTATGTGGTGGCGGGATTGGTTTTAATCTTAACACAACAAACACACAAATTCAAATATGGTTACATAAGTATTCAGTGGAGCGACAAACAGATGAATATTTGCTAAGCATTTTGTTGATGGCGATTTGTAAATAAAGCTTAAAATTTTAAAAGCCAAAACAAATATACATAAATTATGAACTACTTGCAAAGCGTGACAGAATATTAAATGAGTAAACTAATCACAAAAACAAATAAATATAAAAATTGAACAAAAAAAAAAATATATATATATATATACAGCAGTAGATATACAAATATTTGCATAATTAAAACTTATAGTTGCTTATGCAAAAAATAATAATAATAACAAATAAAAATAAAATTAATGCATATGAAAAATCACTTAAACTTAAAATCAACAAAAACTATTAAAATATATTTAAAAAGTAAATTTTATTAGTTTTTTGACATTCCTCCCTCCATTTGCCCAAAAACAACGCAAATATTAATAATGCGTAAAATTAAACATTACATAATTGTTTAATTATAGTGAAATGCATCTCAAAATTTATTTCGAAAATAAATATAGGCGCATAATTAAGGAAACTGGTAAGTAAGTTGTAAAAAATTTACGAAATTTACTATTTAAATTGAATTAATAAGTTCAATTGATATTTTGAAAATAACTGCTTTAAAAATGCAGCTCAATATAACAGTATATATGTACTGATATACAATAATAAAAATATATATTTTTTTTAGAAATATATTTACTTTTCGTCATTAATCAGAAGCACCTTCATTTTTCCTAAACTATGTTAATTAAATTTTTTCCAATTTTTAATAAATTAACAAAAATTGTTGGTTTGTCAAAAACTCGTTTAGGACTGGAAGAAAATGTCTCGCATGCAACCCAGTTGTGTAGACAAAGTGCTTACCCAAACTATCCCATTAAATATGTTACAAGCATAAGATAAATGACAGATGCACGAAAGGACTTAACCGCAGAAACACAATTTGAGATTCATATTCTCAATTAAGTCCATTCAAAGTTCTACTTAAAGTTAATGTAAAGTCAACTAAAAGCTTCTAACAAAGGAATTCTCTCAAAGAGAAATAAAAAGTATGTCATGATATGTATGATAGAGATTTTAACTCCCAAAAGATTCACCAATATAAATAAACTGAACTTAGAAGCTAATGAGATAATTTAGGCATATATTCGGAATATCTCGCCGACTCAGGTTTCTAACCTTAAAAAGTGCGTGTGGAGAAGTATCAGAAGATTTCAATAACTTCATTTAGTTCAAGTCAAAACAAAAGCGGTTGAAAAATATTTACACAATTTTTTGATATATTATACTTATATGAAAGTGAGGTCCCAGAAAATCGATTCTTAAAAAATTTTCTAAAACTTAACCGCAAAATTCGGGTTAAATAATGCTGAAAAAGGTTTTATCAACATATAGTACACAAATGTATATCTCAGCAAAAACCTAGGCATGTACTATATTTTAACCTCATAATCCAGTGATCTCGAAATGGAAAAGGTTTAGAGTCAGTTTTAGCTTGCTAAGTCTAGAGCGAATAAAACATGCTTAATTCAATTGATGGTCACATTATATTTCAGAATTACTCGAGCATAAATATTTCTAAATCAATGCTAAAAGTGTGCGCTTCGAAACTTCTCACAGTCGAGTTAAGCTGTTATTTCTTGTAGCATCCAAATCTGACTCTCTAAAACAAACATCCGGTGGCAATGGTTACAGCCTAGTAGATATTATCATGCTCAATGTATTTTGGTTTAAAAATGTTTTACTTAAATAATAGTCAACCGTTCCGTGAGTATTTCAAAACGGAAAGTCTTGAGTAACTGGCTGACAGTTGGAAATGTAATTTGTATACTCTTGCAACATGTTTTATAATGCATTTACTTCCATTTGAATAAATTTTTTTTCGTTATTCTTTGGGTAAATTATAAATTAATTCTATTTTCGCAAACTTAATCCTTAAATTGAACTTTTATAAATTTTTTGAAAATTTTGTATTTTGAAATAGCTTTTTTCTTTGTCAGAAATTCAATAAAATATGAAAATAATTTTACTGACTTATCAAAAATTGTGCTGCCAATCATCAAAATCAAATTTTGTTTTGCTGCTTGTTAATATCGTATTACATAGAGTTATATATATAGATATATATTAATGGATCACAATAAATGAACTTGTATGAACATAATATCGAATATTTTTAACTACTTTTTTTAAATAAAATCATCAGCAAATTTCAAATACTACGCTTACCAGCATGCAATGAAACAGATAAAGCGCTCGAAATTATCGAAAGAATCGCTTATGTAATATAAACCAGTTTCTTAATTAAATTAATTAGAGTAAAATATTTTGCAAATTTTACAAATGCACATACACACACACACACACAACCACACACATGACATGCCTAAAAGCTATTTTTAACACAACGGTACATACACAAAAGCAGAGCGACACCGATCAGCCTAATTGCAAAACGCTAATTTGCAAATTAATTAATGCAAAGCAGTAGAAATAGCAAAAGTTATTGCTAAATAAACTGAAAATTATAATACATATGAATGATGTAAGCTACAGTAATTCAATAGCTGAAAGCGAATGCATGAAAACGCGCTGCATGCCAAATATGCAAAGAGCAGCAACAACAAATATGAGATTTCAGCAAATATTATATAGAGAAAAACCTCAGCAAATAAAATAATAAATAAAATAAAGCCATACATTAGTATAGATTTAATGAAAAACATTAAAATTTGCAAAAAAATATTTATAAAAAATTAAAATTATACAAATTCATATTTCTGCTAATATAATATTTATTGTTTAAGCAAACACACATGAAGCCCGAGATTTTCACAAACAAAACAATATATGAAAAATAAAAAATGAAAAATAAGATGAAACGCAAAAACTATATACATATATAAATATACATGCATACATGAAAGCTGAAAAAAACTAAGCATATATTAAATTTATTGCGTAAAGTTAATGAGAAAAAATTTAGCATATAAACGAGTACGTCAACGTCAGCTTCATTAGGCTTAAACAGACAGCACACACACAGAACCAAACACACACTTATAACCAAGCACACATATACACACGCGCAAGCAAACAGAACGTAAAATACAACAAAAAATACGCAGCAAATTACAAAAACACAATTAATAAGGAGAAATGTGAGTAATTGCAATTGAACATGAAACATGCGTCAAACAAAAGTGAAAAATGAAAATAATTAATTAGCATTAATTATATCATTAAACTTCAATTTAAAAGAAAGAAGAAAAAAAAAATTAAATACATTATTATTAACATTATTGTGACGATGATCATTATTATTGCTATTATGTTCAATAAAAAGAAAAACAGAAATAAATTGATTTAAAAAATATTAACGAAGCGTTTTCTTTTACCGAGGAATAATGCACATAAAATTTATTTTTCTTAAATATTGATCGTTTCACAAATAGTCAGTAGAAACAAGAGAACGCGTTAACTTCGGTTGCACTGAAGCCATAATACCCTTCAAGCACATAATATTCCTTAAAAGAACTTGATTTTGAACGGCTAGTTTGTTTGGCAGCGATATGAAAAATTTGTTCGGAGACACCACCATTGCCTTTAGACAATAATCGATGCCAAAATATCTCGTCAAAGGAAAAAGTTTGCCATCCAAGCATCTGATCGTACAGTTTGTATGGCAGCTATGTGCTATAGTGGTCCGATCTGAAATTTTTCGTTGGAGATTGCACCATTGCCTTTAGCAACAAACTGTGTCCAATTTTGTGTAGATCTCTTTTCAAATGAAAGACCGTCCATTCAAGAATTTGATTCCGATCGTTCAATTTGTATGACAGCTTATAGTCAAATATGCAGCCAGTTGGGGAGAAAAGGACGTGTGAAAAATTTCAGATCGAAATCTCAAAAACTGAGGGACTAGATGGCGTATATGCAGACGGGCAGACTGGTTTAATCGACTCAGCTCGTCAAGCTGATCATTTATGTGTAATGTTTTTGGATCTTCAACGTTTCCATATGTTTATTACAAACTTCGTGCAAACTTGTTATACACTGTTCAGGGTTATAAAAGAGCTATCGGTCAAATTTGACCCAGGCTGTACCATTTAAATCCAGAACCCGAGTTACTCAGTGACATAAAAAGTTCAGATCTCACATGGTGAGATCATAAAACCTCTTTAAAAACTCATCTCCAGCGAAAGAATGCCTCTCAAAATAAGACGCATTAGCCTTAGAGAGCACTAGAAGCGACTCTCAACACCACTTATGTCTAATATTTTTAGAGATTTTACTTAATATGTTAGTCCAATACTCCTCTAATAATGGAGATCCTGAGGGTAATGCTATCAATAACCTATGCTAATTGTCTATTTAGAACTGACCTCGTGAAGCATTTCAGCGCAATTTTTATGTAGCAACAAAAATTCACCGACATATCTCACATATTGTATTAATTGCCACATTTGGAACCTTGTAAAATTTTTCCTGCTCCCAAAACTTAGATATCGTATTCTAAGTCACTAAAGTCCATCATAGCCAAACCCTATATGATAGGTTAAGTTCGATGGCTGATCCTCAAGATGGGGATCACACTTAAACTACTAGTACTAGTGCTTTGTTAAGCCATAAAATAGAACCCCAATGTCCGATCTGATAAGTCGCCAATACAAATCTGCTTAGGCGTCT